AATAAGGCAGTGGAATTACTCATTAGTAGCCTTTTTAAGATAAGCTATTAGGTCTGCCCTTTCTCCCTTCTTCTTAATTCCAGCGAAGATCATTTTTGTTCCAGGGATGTACTTTTTGGGATTCTCCAAATACTCCATCAGGGTGTCCTCTCCCCAGGTGATGCCTTTGTTCTTGTTGGCATCTGTGTACGAGAATCCAGCCGCCTGACCAGTCTTCCTCCCAAACAGACCATGGAGATTTGGTCCAGTCTTATGCTTGCCTCCCTTTTCCACAGTGTGGCACTGGGCACACTTCTGAACAAAAATCTTCTTGCCTTTCTCAACATCACCCATTTTTATTTCGCTCCCGGGTGATCAACACCACGATCGCTACGACCCGAAGACGGACGGACATCCCGCTCACTCCCGAGACAGGATTTTTCTGTGTAGTTTTACACCTTTCCTGGATCTCACTTTGGAGACCAGGCTGGCCTCGAACTCACAGAGATTCGCCTGCCTCTGCCTCCCAAGTGCTGGGACTAGAGGCGTGTGCCACCACTGCCCGGCCATGGCCTTTTCTTAATTAATCCAAAATTAATTAGGATTAATTTTCTCTTAGGTAGTTTGGATAAGGGTTTGTCTGTCTAATTGATTTCCTCAAAGAACTGACTCTGTGTTTCATTGATTCCTTGTATTTTTCTTGGTTTCTATTTGGTGAATTTTAGCTTTTATTTGATATTTTCTTCCTGTCTACTCCTCTTGGGGATACCTATTGTTTTTGTTCTAGTGCTTTTATGTGTGCTGTTAAGTTGCTAATATGAAGTCTTTTCCTCTTTTTAATGTAGACACTCATTTCTACACAGTTTCCTCATATGATCACTTTCATTGTGTCCTCTAAGTTTGCATATTTTGTGTAATTGTTTTCATTGAATTCTAAAAGCTCTATAATTTCCTTCTTTATTTCTGTCTTGACCCATTTTCTTAGTAGAGTGTTATTCAGTTTTCATGAATTTTTAGGCTTTCTGGTTTTTTTTTTTTTTTATATCTAGCTGTAATCCATGGTGGTCTGATAGGATGCAAGGAGTTATTTTCATTTTCTTATATCTGTTGAAACTTGAATTGTGTCATCAACTTTGGAGAAAATTCCATGTGGTGCTGAGAAGAAAGTGTATTCTTTTTCTTTGGGTGGAATGTTCTGTAGTATGTTAGGTTCGTGTGGTTTATAAAATTCATTAGCTCCAATATTTCTCCATTTGGTTTTTGTCTGGATGACCTGTCCATTGTTGAGGGTGGGGTATTGAAGTCTACCACTATCAAACACTCTGTGAGAGTCAATGTATCATTTAACCTGTAGAAATATTTCTTTTACTAAGTGAGTGACCTTGTGTTTGGGGCATAGATATTAATAATTGAAATGTCGTATTTGTGGAGTTTTCCTTTGATGACTAAGGAGTATTCTTCCCCATTGCTTTTGATTAATTTTTATTTGAAGTCTATTTTGGTAGATAATAAAACAGCTACACAAGACTGCTTTTTAGTTACAATTGCTTTAAATATGTTTTTCCCAGCATTCACCTTTTGCTAATCTCTATCCTTGATGTTGAAGTGTGTTTCTTGTATGCAGTGGAAAGATGGATATTGTTTTTGAATCCATACTGGTTTTTTTTGTCTCTCTCTCTTTTGAATCCATACTGTTAATTTGTGCCTTCATTGGGTAATTGAGACCATTGATACTGAGAGATATCAGGAATAATTATTAATAACTATTATTTTGTTGTTATTGGTGGTGATAATGGTATTTGTATGAGAGTATGTTAGTTTGTGTTTGTGTGTGGGTGTGGGTGTGTTTCTTTCTTTTGGTTTTACTGATGTGATATTATTTATTTACTGTGTTTTCATATGTGTAGTTAGCTTCCTTGGATTGGATTTTTTTTCTTCTAGTACCTTCTGCAGGACTGGATTTTTACATAGATATTGTATAAATTTAACTTTATCATGGAATATTTTTTTTTGGCTTTTTGAGACAGGGTTTCTCTGTGTAGCTTTGTGCCTTCCCTGAAACTCACTTTGTAGGCCAGGTTGGCCTCAAACTCACAGAGATCCACCTACCTCTGCCTCCTGAGTGCTGGGATTAAAGGCATGCACAACCACTGCCCGGCTATCATGGAATATCTTATTTTCTCCATTTATAGTGGTTGAAAATTTTCTGAATATAATAATCTGTGGTTTCTTAGAGCCTGCATCACACATGTCCTAGCCCTTATGGCTTTTATAATCTCCATTGGGAAGTGAGGTGTAATTCTCATAGGTCTGCCTTTATATGTTACTTGATCTTTTTCCTTTACAGCTTTTACTATTCTTTCTTTGTTCAGTATGTTTAGTGATTTGGTTATTATGTGACAAGGGGACTTTCTTTTATGACCCAATTTATTGGATGTTTTGCATGCTTCTTTGTACCTTTATCAGCACCTACATTAACTTAGGAATAATTTGTTATATGATTTTATTCAAAATAGTTTCTGGACATTTGAGCTGGATTTTTTTCTCTTTCTTCTATTCCTGTCATTCATAGGTTTGGTCTCTGCATATTGTCCAAAAATTCCTGGTTGTTTTACATCAAGAAATTTTTATATTTGACATTTTCTTTGACTGATGTACCCATTTCTTCTGTTATATCCCCAGTGCCTAGATTTTGTCTTCCATATCTCTATTCTATTGGTGAACCTTGGCTCTGTACTTCCTGTTTATAGTTCTAAAAATTTCATTTCTCTTTTCTTTATTGTTTCAGTTTCCATTTTAAGGTCTTAAACAATTTTATTTGTTTCCTTTAATGATTAGTTTTATCTTGTCTTTCTTTAAGTTGTTTATTGGTTTACTTCAATTGTTTGTGTTTTCCTAGCTTTCTTGGAAGAATTTATTGATTTCCTCCAATTGTTTGTGCTTTTGTGAATTTATTTAATGTATTTATTCATTTTCTTTTTAAGGGCTGCTATCACCTACATATATTTAGGTTTTTTTTCTTGTATTTCAACTATGTTAGATTATTCAGGGCCTGCTGTGGTAGGATAGCTGGGCTCTGATGATGACATATTGCCCTGGCTATTGTTAATTATGTTTTTATGCTAAGCATCAGGTTTGGGGTGATTATAGGTCTAGGTACTGGTTTCTGACTTTATCTGGGTTAGATGGGAGTTTTGTTTCTGAGTTTCTGTTTGTTCTCTTGAGTTTCAGGGTGTGTGTTGTCTGAGTGTTTCCTTTTTTCCTGGACTTATTGGCTGGTGTGTTCAAGGAGAATGCTTGCTGGTGTTGGAAACTAGGGGAAGGGGAGATGAGGGGAGATAACCTTAGGGATCTATAGGAGATATGGAGAGTGGAGAAGGGAAGCTGCCTCTGATGGTCGACTGCAGTGTTAGGGGCAACTGTTAAAATCAGGTCTGGGATAAGAGATAATGTAGTTGATTTGTAGATAGCCTAACTGGTCTTCTAGAAGATGTGACAATTAGTTGATCAGGGGTACTGCCCCAGTTGGGTGTTTTGACATAGATATGAGGTGGGAAGGGCAGGGCTAGTGGGGATGGTCTTTAGAATCCACAGGAATTATGAACAGGTGGAGGAGAAGCTGCATCTGAAGTTCTGTTGCAGCCCTAGGGGCAACCCTGAGTATTGGATCTTGGGTAATAGATATTGGGAAAGGTCTGTGAGCACCCTACCTGGTCCCATACCCAACACCTTTTTTTTCTGGGTCTCAGGTTTATTAACAGAGCATACCAGATCTCACAATGCAGTGGTTATCGAAGTATGGATTGTCATATCCCCACCCCTCTCTCCTTTCTTCACTATTTACTTCTCAATACTGACAGGCATGAACTTAATACCCAACATCTTAATACTGATTCATCAAGTTCCCAGGGATCATTTATTTACTTCTTTATTTAGGTTTCTGTTGTTATTAATCTGTGAAACACTTAGTTTATTGGATAAAAAGTACTCTGTGGGCTGTGCATTACACCCAGCAAATATTCTTCTTGGGGTTGACCTGAGTTCAGAAATCAACACTCAAATTGAGAGGCTCATAACCACCTGCTCTTTCAGATCCAGGGATCCAACACACTCTTTGGTGTGTCACTTGTGTATACATAGTAAACCTCTCTCACATGTACAAACAAACATCCACATAAAAATAAGGATATACTTGTTTTCAAAAATGCTTGTGACTTATAAAACAAGTAGAGGAAAACAGGTTGCTTTAGGTATATAATACAAATCATGCAACATTGATTTAAAAATCTGTTATCTATCATTTTGTTTGAAATTTTTTAATTTCCCCACTCTGATCCAGACTTATATCCTGTCATCAATCATAGAAACAAAGGGTTTTGATCCTACATACATTCTTTTCTTTATCAAAAGAGAATGAGATAATTTTAGTAGTCAAAACTTTTTTCTACATTGTAGAAATATCAGGCTTCAAGTGAATCTACCCAATTTTGCTAGAACAGTCCTTCTCACTCAACCTAGTTTCTATTATTGGCTAAGGAGAAAACTGGGATATACAGTGTGAGTGGTGGTCAGTGTTTTTTTTTTATTTTGATTTTCATTAGAATCTTGTTCAAGAGACCATGTTAATTATGTAGGTCTCTCTTTGTGTCTCCTTTTATCAGTTATACCATCTAGGTTTGGACAAATTTTTATTAGTTATAATTTGGTTATATTTTTCTCCACAAAATGATGGACCTCCACCTATTTTTATTTTCTGAAAAATTACTATATTATGTTATGAGTCCCTTGAGTTTGTTGGCTTGGAGACTTTCTGTGGAGAAACAGCATTAGTTTTCTCTTCTTGTCTTAGAAGCTTGTTTCTTCTCATTTCTTGGCATATCAGAGTTTTCCAGTTGTTACTATCATCAATGTTTGCATTGTTGCTATTTAAGTTATTAACGTTGTTGATAAATTGGCTTTTGGTTTTTAAAACCTTCTCATATATTATTGTCTCTGTGTCCTAGTTACTTCCAGCTGTCAACATGACAGAGCCTACAGTCATCTGTGGGAACCTTATTGAGGATGTGACTTATCAGAATGGCTGATTGCTGTGTCTTTGAGAGATTTTGTTGATTTCTGATATTGATGTGTGAAGGCTCTTCCACTGAGGGTACAATATCCCCAAGAAAGTTGGCCTGGGCTAGATAAGAAAGCCAGCTGAGCATGAGACAATGACCAAGTAAGAAAGAAAGCTACTAAACAAAGTTTCCTTATGATTTTGTCTCCAGTTGCTAGCTTGAACTTCTATCCTAAGTTCCCACAATGATGGATTGTGATATGGCAGAGTCAGCCAAATAAACCCAATCATTACCTGTGGTGCTTTTGAGTAGAGAATTTAATCAAAACAAGAAACAAGCAAGTTAGAACATAATGTGGTACACAAAAAATGATTTTATTGCTACAAAGGAAAAAAGGAATGATTACTTTTGGCAGAATGTTAAATATATCCATCCAGATTTATATTCCCCAGACACCTCCATGTAAGTACTGGCAATTGGGCCCACTTATATGCAAGATCAGCAAGAGCTCTTAACTACTGAGCTGTCTCTCTTGCCCTCTTTTGATTATTTATGATCAACATTTATAATGCTACTGGTTTCATCTGTCTATTTGTACCTGTTTAAATGCATAGTTCCTTTTATTAAAATTTATTAAGGTTACCATTTAAACTGAAGCAATTCAGGTATCTAGAAGATGAATAAAGAACTGAAGTGATTATGTAACTCTTTGTAGAAACTTAATTTTAAAAACCTCTGAGTTGTTCTTATTATTTTTGTTCATTTGATTGATTTTTGCAGAGGAGACAGGTTCTTAATTTTTACTTCTTACTCTCCTAGAACTGATTGCATAGTATAGGCTACCTTTCAACTCAGAGGCAGATATACCTGCCTCTTTTATCCTCATGCTGGGATTGAGTCAATATACCCAGCTTGCTCATCTTTTTTTTGTAGTTAGTAACTATTCATACAGTTTCTCTGACATGTAATTGGTACTGATGATAGGTTTTCTTGTCTCTGTATCTGCTAATACATATTTCTCTTGCAAGATGATATCCCATTCAAAGCTTTCAGAAATGATAGAGGTAAATGCCCTATTCAATTTCCTTCTAAAGTGGCTAAATGATTATATGATAATGTCTGTATATAGAACAAGCATGGGAAACACCAGAATTATATTACTATATTGTTAAAGAAGCATGCATTTACAATGATGTCAGTATCATGTTTCTTGTTGTATGCATATGCATGACATATTTATGTATGACATATTTTAGGATGCAGTGACCTATAATGATGTGCATGTCAACTTCACTCAGGAAGAGTGGGCTTTGCTGGATCCTTCCCAGAAGAATCTCTACAAAGATGTGATGGTGGAAACTTACACAAACCTCATTGCTATAGGTAATACTAAAAAAATGCCTTCACATTTTAAAATAAGGGGACAGCTGTTTCTTGGTTATGGATACTCTTCTGTAATTTTGATTGAGTCTGATGAAGAATGAGGTGAAGATATCAAACATGGTTTTAAGGATCATTGAAGGGAATAACTTTAATTTTGCACAATTTCCAATAATATTTCATACATTTCCTGGTACTATATTTTAGGCTACAAGTGGGAAGATAATATTGAAGAGCATTGTCAAAGTTCTCGAAGACATGGAAGGTAATATTCATGTATAAGCTGATACAAGAGTGCCTCTGTAGATATTTTAATGTATCTGTAACTTATAAAGAAAAGCATCAGTGTAAGTAATCACAGTTTAAAGTACATTGATGATCATTAAATGATTTCAAAACCATATACCTCAATGGCAAGTGAATTGTGTTTTCATGTCATTCTTTTAAGAAAGAAGACAAGGAATCAATGCCTTAACAAATATAACCATTTGAATCATAGCTCCATCAGAGCTATGCTATAGAACTGACAATCCACTTAGTTTCATACTGTTCATATTACAAAATTTATGCTCATTAAATGTATGGTAAGTGTGTGTCCAAAACCTTCTAATAAGCAAATAGCCCGTAGTAAAAGTATTGTTACTCATATAGTTGTTCTGACTTTGCTAAATTTAGTGAGAAGAGTAGTTAGAGTCAAGAGTTAAGGGGGGTTGTTGTGGAGGACCCTTAATCCCCATACCACATGTTGATGAGGAACAGAAAGTCCAACTGTAAATGAAAGGTGGAAACCTTTTAGTTGTTATTCTTCCTTTAATAAGTATATCATATGTCAATTTAAAAATATGAACATAGGGATATGGAAAGAAGTAATATACATTTCTCCATCTCAGAATAATTAGAATATATGTAGTAGTCCCCATGTTGTGTAGACTTGTCAAATGTGATGTAAGTTTGCAAACAATTGGTTTTCCAGCTTCATTGGAAATACATCAACAAACACACTGCAGAAAAGCCCTATGAGTACCAGGATTGTGTACATGCTTGTGTTTGTCCTGGTTTACTTTACAAATGTAGCATGAGTCACAGTATAGGAAAATTTGTCAATGGAATTGGTGAGGTAAAGGTCTGAATTCATCCAGTTCTCATCAAAGGCATGAAAAAAACTCAGAGAAAACTGATGCCATCAATATGAACCAGGTAATAAAGGATCTTACTATCACATCCTTAATGAAGGGGAAAAACATAAGTTTAGTGTAAATACTGGGCTAAAATCTTAAGATCTTATTCTTTACATTTAGACCAAATTATAAAATAAATACATACAGATATACAGACTCAACACTGTAATGAATGTGGTAAAGCTTTTACATGTACTAATTTTCTTTGCAGGCATGAAAAAAGTCATACTACAGAGAAACCTTCTGAATATACTCAATGTAGTAAAGTGTCTGTATGTCAGAGTCTTCTTCCAAAGCATGAAAGAACACATACTGGAGAGACAACATATGAATGTAATCAATATGTTAATGCCTTTGAATGTCCCAGTCATCCTCAAAGGCATGAAATAACACGTACTGGAGAGAAACCCCATGAATGTAATCAATGTGGCAAATCCTTTTTACGTCACAATAATCTTCAAAAACATAAAAGAACACACACTGGAGAGAAACCCTATGAATGTAATCAATGTGGTAAAGCCTTTTCATATCAGAGTACACTTCAGTTGTACAAAAGGACCCATACTGGAGAGAAACCCTATGAATGTAATCAATGTGGTAAAGCCTTTGCTTATCACAATGGTCTTCAATTACATAAAAGAACACATACTGGAGAGAAGCCATATGAATGTAATCAATGTGGTAAAGCCTTTTCACAACATAGTAATCTTCAAAGGCATGAAAGAACACATACTGGAGAGAAACCCTATGAATGTAATCAATGTGGTAAAGCCTTTGCTCATTGGCATTCTCTTCAATTGCATGGAAGAACACATACTAGAGAGAAACTATGAATGTAATCAATGTGATAAGGCCTAGTCACAACACAGAGTCACCCTATAACTGTAAAACTTTTAGTTTGTATTTGGTCTCTTAAATTCTTTGAATATAACATTAGACTTTGAGGATCTGAGAAAACTCATACCAACGAGATTCTGAATATATATGAATTGGTATTATCTTTAGCCAGTATACTTACATTTAATTACACAAGATCATTTATTCTGGAGAAAAGTATCTGATACATGTCAATAATCTGTTTAAGCATTATGATGTTTCTATTTTGTTTACACCTGCAAACATATTTGGACAAAAGGGCTATTAATTTAAATGATAAGGTAGTCCTCTTAGATATCATACTTCTTTTCAATCACATGAGATAATGAATCCAGGTGTAAAAATTTATAGATGTGTATTATCATCTTTTCTCTTGCATTGATAAAACATCATGTCAAAGTGAACTTACGAAAAGATTTCATTTGGTCCTTGGTTCCAGAACAATACATCAACCCTATGAAAGTGGCATAGAAACAAGTGTCATTTATGGCAGCTAATTCAGGAGGCTAAGAAGTCACATCCTTTACCTGTAGCATGAAGCAGAAAGTGTAAATTGGAAATGCTGTGCAGATGTAAATTCTCAGACCAACCCCCCAGTGACATATTTCATCCAGCAGAGCAGCATTTACTATACCTTCCCAAATTATATCACAGACTGAGAATGTTTGATTTCTCAAAATTCAAGCCTACATGCTTGCTTTCTGTTACATGAACCAATTCATGATGGATAAAACCTTCAGATGCATCAACACCTGTATTTCAGGAATTACAATAGAAAAATATTCATGATAGGAAATTAGTTTAAAGATTTGTTTTTATTTTAATTATGCAATGTCTGTGTGTCTTTGCATGGGTATATGTATGTCCATTTTGGTTTCCAAGAAGGTTAAAGCCTTGGAGCTTCTTGTAGCAGGAATTAGTGGAAGTCATAAAAAAACAGACCATGCTGGGCAGTGGTGGCACATGCCTTTAATCCCAGCACTCAGGAGGTAGAGGTGGGCAGATCTCTGTGAGTTTGAGGCCAGCCTGAACTACAGAGTGAGTACCAGGAAAGGTGCAAAGCTACACATTAAAACCCTGTCTTGAAAAAACAAACAAACAAACAAACAAACAAACAAACAAACAAACAAACAAAAACAGACCATGTTCCAGGGAATGAACTTGTATTGAAGGCTCTGCCATGTTTCTATTCCTGTCAATATTTTAAAGCTTTTTTTTATATCATCTTGATATCAGGAAATAGGATGGAACTCATACAAAAGAAAAACCCTATTTATATAAACAATTTGGTTAAGATTTTAGACATCACAGTTGTTTTTAGTTTCAAGGAAAAAATTGATTCATATCTTCACTGTAGCCTTGAAGTAAGTAAATTATTAACTAAGTTCACCAAAGACTGATGTGAAGACCACATTGTGGCTTCTATGTTGCAACATTTGAGGTAGATATTGAAGTGTGGGATATATGTGGCAAATATATTTATTTAGTGGTCCTTAATATTTCTTCTGTGGCTTTTGTTCATCTTCTTTTGTGCTTTCACTTAATGAGAGGTATTTATCTGCTGTAATGTATACAATGGAATGGCCATCGTCTAAATGATCCATTTTCATTTAACTCTCAGGCCATATGTGATCATACTTTTCAAGCAAGGGTGTCTGTGAAAGGGTGGTGAATTTTTGTTCCAGGTTTTATTTTTCATATTTTTTCCACAAATGCCCTTGAAATGTTGTTTGTTATCCAGCCTGGCTTGAATGTCAGTAATTAGTCATAGATACATTTGGATTCATGATCCTTGTATGTCAGTCTCCTGAGTACAAGTCCCGAGGTAGATGATATACTTCCAATGATTGCTGTTTGGTCAAAACATTTTAATGATAATGTTAAAATACTTAATAGAGAATATAAAAAAATTAAATACTTCATGTATATATCTGAAGAAATTTTCATCAATCTGAAAGAGATGCAATAATTTGAGTAAATCAGTAATCAACTGTATATTTCACAATATAATTTGATTATATATACATATATTTACTATGTATATATTTTTGATTATATATACATATCTATTTTACTATGTATATATATATTTGATTTCTCAAAATTCAAGCCTACATGCTTGCTTGCTGTTACATGAACCAATTCATGATGGATAAAATCCTTCAGATGCACCAATACCTGTGTTTCAGGAATTACAATAGAAAAATATTCATGATAGGAAATTAGTTTAAAGGTTTGTTTTAAATGTATATCATTTGAGGTTGCATGCATCTTCATGTCCTTATCTGTTATCCATTTGGCACTTTCTTGAAGTATTGTCTTCTAAGGTTATTATCCAGTGATGCCACATAATGTAATAACAGTGAGATTTATATTAATTTTTTTCTGCTCTGTGTGTGTGTGTGTGTGTGTGTGTGTGTGTGTGTGTGTGTGTGTGTGTGTGTAATGTAGGCCATGACAGAAATGTTGAGAATAGAATACAACTTTATGGGGTCTACTTTTGTCCATCTTCATATGGTGATCAAGATGAGGTCACAGCCTTGCACAACACAGACATTTCTAACAGAGCAATCTCATTGGTGCTCCAAATAAGATTAGTTGAAACATTAAATGAGTAAAATATTGTCGTTTTGGGTTGTAAACATGCTTTCATTGAAATACAATGGAAAATAGGAGAAATTAAATAATAAATCTTATTTGCAAATGAAAATGATATACTCCTGTCTTTGTTTTTGTTTTTATTGCATGTGGAATGAGTTAGTTTATTATCAGGACTAAACATTTGTTCATAACACTTTCTCAGAACAACAAATGAATATCAGAGAATAGTTTCTGTGAGTAAAGATGTTTGCTGCTAATCCTGATGTCCTGAGTTCAATCTCTAGGAACTCCATATCACTCCTACAAATTTTTCTCTGATTTCTACACTTGTGGTGTGGCATATGCACACTCACATACCAGCACATGCATAAATAATTTTAATACCCAAACAATTGGCATTGAGGTCACTGGCATCCAAATGATTTCCTGGCTTTCATCTCTAGAACTTGCATGGGATAAGTAGATAACAGACACATACACATCATGGCAATAGGATATACACATAAACAACATTTTTAAATTGATGAAATCAAAAAAGCAAAGAAGTTAACCCAATTATCGAGAATATATAAAATGATTTTCTTTTGATTTTTCATGACAGGGTTTCTCTGTGT